TTAACACTCATCCAAAAGGAATTAAAAGATACTTGGATAAAAAGAAAATGCTACGTGGTAAAGATTTATTTATTAAGTTTTTTAAATATTTAAAAGTTTTATTAAAATGTTTTGTTACACTAATGTTATGTTTAAATACATCAAAGTGTCAAAAGGATTCACTTGAAAATGTTTTGTAACACTTTTATTTTTCAGGTTAACATGTCCTTAGAAGCATTTATTTCTCGTAATTTTAATTCTTCCCCTTTTTTTGTATCCAATAGCAACCACCAAAACTTCCCTTTGATAAATGCTTTTATCTTCATTCAAAGTTAGATAATCACATCTCACCCTTGTATCTCCATAAAAGCTCCCCTCAAAAAACATTTCCCACCCTGATTGATGTGGCTTAGTTGGTTGGAGCACCTCCCTGTACAGGGAAAGGTCGCGGGTTCAATTCTGGGTCAGGGCACATACCCAGGTTGGGGATGCGATCTAAAGTCGGGCATGTACAGGAGGAAACCAATCGATAGTTCACTCTCACATTGATGTCTCTCTCTCCCCCCCCTTTCATTTCTTATCTCTCTAAAATCAATAAAAAGCATGTCCTCAGGTGAGGATTAAAAAAAATAAAATACTTTCCCAAACGTAAATTTGTTTTTTACAGAATAAAAAATTCAAGCTGTTTCCACACACACTTTTCTACCTTTTGCTAAGTCCTAGCCTCCTTTTGTGTTCTCATACCTGTAGAAATTATAATTCTTATCATACTTCATATTCTGTTTTCTTCTACTTACCAACTATACTACATGAATTTAATCTTTTACAGAGATTACAATATCCAAACTGAGCCCTGGCTTTGGTTTTCCTCAAATTTAAAAACAATGGCCACAAAAAAGCACACAGGGAATATGTTAATTCTTTCTGTATCAGTTTCAAATTAAATTACATGAATGATTTTAATTAATAAAAAAAAATTCTTAATGTTATGCTCTTTAGGCTATTTATGTTATGTCACCTAAGAAGATTATACATTCCCTTGCTTCTAATTTACCCACAGGAAGTTTTCAACGATTTTGTTTCCTTTTCTCACATAAATCTTTAGTTTTCTTCTACAGTGAATAATTCAGATTTTTGGTTATAGGATCCCATACTTACAAAAGTAAATTAATTCACTTGAGCAGACAAGTTATTATGTTTTAAAGAAAGCGCCAGCCCTGGCCGGGTGGCTCAGTTGACTGGAGTGTCATCCTGTTCACCAATAGGTTGCAGGTTTGATTCCTGGTCAGGCGCATATCGGAGGCAACTGATCAATGTTTTTCTCTCACATCGATGTTTCTCTCTCTCCCTTCCTTCCTCTCTCTAAAATCAATAAAAACATATCCTAGGGTGAGGATTAAAAATCATAATAAAGTACAGACCACTATAACTGGCTATTTGAAATTGGGAAAGAAATGGTTTAAATTCATAAAAATACCTAAATTATTCGATATAGTTAAAAAACCTATTATGAGTCATAAACAAAAATTTGGGAAACATTAAACAAAGCATAAAAACTAGTATTAGTTTTAGCTGTTATTGACCACCTATGAAATCACTAGTAAGTCACCTCTAGTCCTAAGGTTCTACAGTGTAAAAAAGGGGATTTATGCCCAGCTGGTGTGGCTCAGTCGGCAGCTGAGCATCGACCTACGATCCAGGAGATCCCGGTTCAATTCCTAGTCAGGACACATGCCGGGATTGCAGGCTCGATCCCCAGCAAGGGGCGTGCAGGGGGCAGCCGATCAATGGCTCTCATCATTGACGTTTTTATCTCTCTCTCTCTCTCCCTTCCTCTCTCTAAAATCAATAAAAATATATTTTTCAAAAAGGGGGGGATTTATGATTTCTAACATTCCTTATGTTTCTAAATGTCTGAGTTCCATTAGATATGTAATGCAATTTCAGTCTTGAGTTTTGTATGTTATATTGTAAACACCTGCACATACCCATAAACACACCACAATGATATTTCTATTGAAGAAAATTTTCAGGAAAAAAAGAATGTAAAAATTCAAAATAGCAACTAGGCATTTTCATATATTGACCGTGAGAGAGTAACTGCTATATTCCTTCCTAAAAGTCCGTGTGACATTATCTATGAAAAATTAGAATGAAGAAGCCCTTCAAACCCAGTATTTGCGTTTCTAGGAATGAAGACGAAAGCATAACTTGCACATTTACATAAACACCTAGGTCAGAGATATATATTACAACATTGGATATATAATATGCAGTTCAAACTTAAGTTATTGATTTTTACTCCCAATTCTGTTCTGCCTAGTTTTCCACAGTCTAGTAAATGGCCCCAGTTGGTTAAGGTAAATAGCAAGGAGTCATTACTCATTCCTCCTTTACAATCCATCCACTAGAAAGTCCTATCTCTTTTTCCCTTAAAACACACTGAAAATCAGTCACTCCTCTAGATCTCTTCTGCCACCAATCCCAACCACATCTGTCTCACCAGGACTACAATAAAAACCTCCTGAGTGATTTCCTCCCACTTAATCCTGTTCCTCAGGTCAACAGAAGCCAAAACGATCATTTTAAAGATCATGTTCTTCCTGTGTAATCCTCTCTCACACTTTCCATTGCACTTAAAGGAAAATCTAATGCCTCATGCCTCTACCTGCCTCTCCAAGCTCATCTCAGGCCACGCTCTCCCCTGGTTTGACCATGCTAGGTAACACTGACAATCCTAAAACCTACCAAGAACTCTTTCCTGCTTCAAGGCCCTTGATCATGTTTTCTTCATCCTGGAGAGCATCTTTCAAGGCTGGCTCCTCACCCAGTTATTATCTAAATAGCCTTCCCTTTGCCACATATTTTTCCTTTTGTACACTATTACTTCATACTATCTGTTCCTTTCATACACTCTCCTCAATCTTGTTATTGTTTTTATGGTTCTTCACACTAGTACATAACATCCAGATGCAATTAACTATTTCACTGCCATTTTCCCAGCAATATGTGTAGTTCATATCAATATTTATTATATGACAGACTAACACAAGGACAACATGAGTTTTTGCCACAGATAAGCTATTATTTAAATTAAGAGTCTTAATTTAGAGTAAAAATTTTACAGATCAGCCAATACCTCTATTTAATGTACTTCAGCTAAAATAAGAAAAGTATCAATACGAATTTGGTGAAAATTTACACAGTATACAATAACGTACTAAAAGCTTATGATCTGGCTTCAGCAATCTTCTTGGCTTCAGCTCTGGCCAAACACACATCTTAATTTGTGACCATTTCCCTATGGGAAATATAAATTGTTCAGATTGGCCGTAACTCAAGGTGCACATGGCAAGAGATGAAGCTAAGAAGATTGCTGAAGACAGATCAGGCTTTTGTACTAGAATAAATGATCATGTTTTAGAGAGTCAGAGGTTTGTTATCAAAGTTTGTATACCATATGAACAGGTAGGGCATCTGGTCAACTACAAGAGTGAGAGATTAGATTCAGTACAAATGTTACCTCCTGCATGCTATAACATAGTAGCGTTTTTGCTATCACAGAATCAGTATCATGTTTCTTGTGTGACAGACTAAAATTTAGAGTGTCCTTTACTGTTAAAGGTTTCAAAGGTGTTATACTAAGGCCTGTGTGACTTGTTCCTAAAACTACCCCAGTGAAATTATGTGAAATTGGCTTTATGAAATCTTGTCCAATCTTAGATAACGTACCAGACTCAAAATAAGTATTCTTTCCACTGATAACACATTCACCTTATCTCATTCATAACAAATTATATCACATTTGAAAAACATACTCTATTGGTCCATATGCTTGCACATTCTATTTTTATTTCCAAATGAGGGATGCTTACGTAATAAGTGTACTCCTAAAATCATGCTGCTTAATATATAATTTGTGCCTGGCCGGGTGTTGCTCAGCAGTTGAGCACTGACCTAGGACCCAGGAGATCGCGGTTTGATTCTGGGTCAAGGCACATGCCCGGGCTGCGGGTTCTATTCCGTTGGGGGCGTGCAGGAGGCAGCCAATCAACGACTCTCATCATTGATGTTTCTATCCCTCTTTCTCCCTCCCTTCCCTTCTCTGCAATCAATATATATATAATTTGTTACTGAAAACATTTTGCTATTTGTTATCATTCTATAATTGGGAAATTGGTCTTGGGAAATAACACTTTAATATTAATTGTCAATATTAATCCTCCCAAATATAACAACCTTAACTTTTAAAAAATAATGCCTATATTGTAGCAGGCCCCAATTCTCCTTTCTTTTTACTCTAAGCCTTTTCTTCGCTTACCTAGACCCTAAAATCTTGTGATTTGGTAGCCCTCTGATTTTATTCTATATTTACTATTAAAATTCCAGGAAGAATAGAAATGTTAAGGTCAACTTTCATTAGCTCATTCCTCTGGTACTATCCTAATTGTTTTCCCATTAAAAATTATTCTTTGAGAAAAAAGAAAGTATAAAAACAATCAAATTTCTTTTTTGACCCTCTAAATAAAGCTTCTTCATCTAACTGGAGCAACCCATTAGATGACTCCTGAAGTTCTGGGCCTTTGGAGAGTCATAAGTCCTTCAGTCCTTTGGAAAAGCTTCAGTCCTATAAATTTCACCTCTCTTTATCTCAAATCAGGAATCAACAAGTCCAGGTACAGAGCTACAAGCACAGCAAATAAAACCGCAAAGGGAAAAACTACGGATCTTAGAACTCCAGCGAGTCACAACCTCAAAGGAAAACAGGTTACCACTCTTTGAGGAGGACTGTGTATAATATGGGGAATGAGTATCAGAGGATTGAAAATTTGGACCCACTGAAGTGATGGCTATTGCACAATCTCTCTCTGTAATCTACACACCATTCCCATCACAACAAAGCAGTGAGCAGTGGAAGGCACCTTACCCTACTTACCCGTACAACTGAGTTGCAATATATAGTTAATGACCTAGTTTCATACTACTTCTTGAAGTAGAACAAAAACACAACAGAAACCTACCTTCAAAAGGGGACCCCAATTGGTATTTTCCACTAAAAAATTTTGGCAGTGAAAAGACAAGTGCTCCCAGTCCAATCATAAAGGATGCAAATGCAAGCCATCTTGGTTTGTGTCCTCTCTCGCCAACATATGAAACAAATAAAGACAACAAACAGAATGCTATATCATAGCTTGATGATATCAGGCCGGTCAGGGAACTCTTCATTTCATAGCGCTTCTCAATAGTGGAAATGCTAATATTTACTAGGCCATTTACCACAATACCTAAAAGAGAAAAGAAAAAAAAAGTATGGGCATTATTACAACTTTACCATATAGATTACGATTATTAGCACAATGTACTAAAGTTTGGTTGTTCGTTTTTTTTAATATTTTTTTTAATGTACCAATTTTTGACAGATTCAAAGTTTCAATGGTAGGTAACCCCAAACATACTTCCTTACAAAATCAGTTTGCTTTTAAATTGTACACTTGTGAATTTCCAGGTGTTAAATAAAATTGATGCTTACCACATCCTAAATTGTAGCTAACTTTGTTTTTCTTTAAATGACAATCAAAAAGTCAGACTGGTAAAATCTCAGAGGACAGTTTGCCAGTTTCCAAGTGTAGCATACTTTCACCGCCCTCACTTAGGAGAGTACAAAAAGTACAGCAGATTCCAGAGGTCATCTGAGTAATGCTCAATCACTTCCCAAGTTATTCAGTCCTTAAACATATTTATATATAGCAAGAGATCCTTGACTTAGTCTTTGAAAGTTGAAATTGAGCTCTCAAGTCTCTTTTTTCTTCTAACACTCTTATAGACATTAAAGTTAAACATCCTGGAGCAAAAGTAAACATAAATCAAGAGTATTATGTCAACCTGTAAGATGCTAAATCATAGGCAAAGTAAAAGAAAAAACTTACACTTCATCTGCTTATTATAACTATAATGGAGGAATATAATGTAAACAAGGAAAGACTGAAAATCCAATTTTGACTGACAACAAAAATAGCCTGTCCAAATATCGATTAAATTTACAGTTTAAACATTAATATAAATTAAGAAGAAAAGTCATCTGGTCAAATTACAAAGTTTTTAATTTTCTCTCTTAAGAAAATATCATCACTTGTTTTCATTTATTTATTAATAGAATGAGTGCACACAAGCCATGATCTCTATAATATTTTTAAATTTTGCTTTCTCAAGAAAATTGATATAACAAGTTTTAAAAGTCCTGCCTGGCAGGTATGGCTCAGGAGCTGATCATCAACCTATGATCCAGGAGATCTCAGTCTGATTCCCAGTCAGGGCACATGCCTGGGTTGCAGGCTCAATCCCCAGTGGGGGGCATGCCGGAGGCAGATCAATGACTCCCTCATCATCGATGTTTAATCTCTCTCTCCCTCTCCCTTCCTCTCTGATTTATAAATCAATAACGATATTTTTAAAATATAAAATAAAATTAAAAATAAAAGTCCTAATATACTTTTATGCCAGTTTAATGAGTCTAGAAGTCAATTACAGTTCCTAAGATTTCAATGTAAAATAAAGTATCCAAAGTACCTAGGAATGACATATGTATAAGGAAATACGGTTATGTGAGAATATGAAAATTTCCTTATCCAAAAATCAACTTCCCAACATATTTGCTTTAGTGATTAAAAAGTCAGTCATTAGAACTCTTTGCCTTTATGGTAAAACTTTTCTGAAAAAGTAAATACATAAACTCTTGTGGAAGTATGGCACTTTAAGCCTATGAATCCCAATGTGAATTTATGCTACAGAAGTTCCAAGAACTCTGCTTAAAAAAAAGAAATTCCATGAAATACCGCATATTATGTCTCACTATTGTAAATACTTGAAAATAGGAGGCATGTTAGGAAATTAAGTTCTAAGAGAAATCCTGTTTATCTCAATGAGAAATCCTGTTAACACAATGAGAAATGTTGGGTTACGTAAATTTACCTGACAAATTTTAGGGTTCCCCCTTCACAATTAAACACTTATTAATATATGATGGAAATAGTCTTCCCACGGATCATGTTTGAGAAACATGGTAATAAATTGGGGACCTCTGGGTAGATGTAGCTCCAGGCTAAACATTTTTTAAGAGTGCCAATTATATTTGATAACCATTTTTAAAATATGTTGTATTAAATGTAACATGATGTCTTCTGGAATAATATAGAAATTTCAGAATACATTTTTTAAGATAAAACACAAGAATTTATTTACTTGTGTCCAACTGTTACAGAATAGTAAGAAGCTAAGAAAATTCCAGGACAAGTGGAAATTAAGAAAGATAACTAAACAGCAGTTTCCAGCCACCTAGTAAATCCTATCTTCCCCAAACCAAGGATTCTTAAAAGTAAATGGCTTGCATTTCTCCCCCCCAACAAGAGGGTAAATGGCTTAAATCACCCTACTCAGGGAAACAGATTAAAAAAATACAATTAGTGCCATTTGCCAACCACACCCAAGGACAGACTAGGTAAGAGAATAAATCTCATTTTGGTATATTAGCATAAAGCTAATGAATATTCTATTGATTTCCCCCTAAGACTTCCCCTAAAAGCCCAGCGTTTAAAACCCCTGAAAAAAACCCAAGCTCTCTCCCCAGGGAGCACTCCCCTGCCATTCCCTTCCCCTTCTCCTTTCCCTACAGCCTAAACTCCAAGGGACCCCACCATACTTGCAACCAATGGAGCACCAGGCAGCAGAGTCTCCTCCTGGGCTAATCCCTTTGCACTTGTCTCCAAGGCCCCCTTCTCTCTGGCTTCCCAGTGAGCAAAGTAGCCTAGCCTAGGCTCCTGTTACTTCTTCCATGCCCTTCCTTGATTCACTGTCCTAAGTAAATAAATTCTTGCTTTCTTTTCTACCCTTTGTCTCTTGATTGAAATCTTTCATTCAAGGAGACAAGAAAAGAGGTCTCCTCATCTCGCTGGTAACACAACTTCTTTGAATTCTCCAATCCGTTGACACTGAGATGCTGGGAAATCAGATTTTGAACAACTGAGATCAAGAAATTGACTAAGATGAAGATATTGAGAGAAGGTGAACTTTAGTGGGGTCAAGAAAGGTGGGAAGGGAAGTAACTCTTTAGGACGGAAACTACCACTAGAAGATGATCAGCAGTCCGACTTGCAATCAACACTGAGCACCTAACTTGTGCAAAGCAAGGGACATGATGTTCCTTTGAGACAGGAACAGAAATAAGAACAGGAAGGATATATTTGTATTTAGTCTGTTAATCTTAGAAAAGAGCAATTTCCAATCCTTCCCACGATGTTTCTTGCATGGCATTTCTTTCGATCAAGTCCTTGCTTGCCTCCTTGCAAAATATTTTAAAACTATAACTTAAGTGACAAAACCTATGTACGTATTATTAAATTCTAATTAACCTTCAACATGTCCTTTACCATGTCCTCCGCCTCAGCGTCTACCTCTCCTCAATTTGTCACGTTAGTTGGTGTAATTACCCAATTCTTTCATCCCCTGCTTTAGACGCACCACCAGCAGCTTCTACCTTCACTAAGCCACCGTCTTCCACCCACCACTCACTCCTCCAAACCAAGCTTAGACAGCGAACTCCTGAGGCTATAACCCTGGACTCGACCGTAACTCCCAAGAGACTGTAGAAGAAATCCTTGAATAAAACGGATACTGCATAACTCCCGGTGTTTGGAAGACCACATCCTTCAACAGCGCCCGAAGCCTCCGCTAACTCCCTGGGACACACCCGAGCCCCCGTTCAGCGCAAACCCAGGGTACTCGCACGGCGCGAAGGCTCAGTAGCTAACCGCACTGCACAAATTCAACAAGCTTCCCCTTTCACAACCGCCCTCCCCTCACCTGCAAGTTTCTAAATCCTTCCGTTCCAGAAACTGTAAAAAAATCCCTTCCATTGGAGGTGTGGCGAATGCACGCTTTTGTCATGTAGAATAGATTCCCCAGGGCAACCACCCCAAAGGGAGGCTCCGGTAATTTCAGTCTCCCCGGGAGGCATCGAATCCGCGAAACTGAGGTAGGACACCGAGGAGAAAAGGCTGTGTGGCGAGTTTTAAATCGTTCCTGCGATAAAGGAGAAGCTAAAATGTGGAAGTCTGAACCTGGCTGGTTAATGCGGGTTTGCGCGCTCGCCAGCCCGCGGCGGGGCCGCCTAGGGGGCGCGTGGACCACCTGGC